TTAGATTTTAAGAATTGGATTGGATATTAAATTATGATATCTGAAATTGTAATTATGACTAGCTGTAACTCTATTATGGAGATCTGAATTAGAATTCATTGATTTTTTTTTTTTTTTCATCCATTTTTTAAATAGGAAGAATGTTTAATTTAGACAGTAAGAATGTTATGTTGGATATCTGGATTTAAAAGCTCAGTACACATGACTGGGTCATTTTTACTGGTAAGAATTACATTTTAGATATCAGAAATGTTCAGTTTGACTACGAAGAAACACATTTTGACATCTGGATTACATATTCAGTCAAGCTAATAAATGTCAAAACGGCCTGCCATATCTGCTACCATATTTGCTGTGTAGAAAAACTCGGAGCTTGGAGGCGTGTCTTTCAGTGGGCGGGTCTTGCAGTCTTGCAGGATGCAGACAGATAAACTTGGGTGACTATTTCTTTGGGACCAGGTTCCAGATGTTCCATCACTATTCCTTTACTTTCAGCTGCTGCTTTTCTGCTCTCAGGTTTTATCATGGAAATTCTCAAAGCGCTGATCTTTCTCTGTCTTTCTGTGGCGGTTTGCAGGTCAGACTCTAATCTGAGCAGTGATTTAGTTTTGCTCCCCTATGATTTCCTTTTTGACGCGGCGGTGGAAGCCTACTATAAGGGGGACTGGCTGGCAGTCATCCTAAACATGGAGAAAGCCATCAGGAACAAAGATGCGCTCCGGAACATTAAGGCGCAGTGTCGGCTGCGCTGCGCAAACCAGTCCGCCTTCAGCCAGCCTTCAGTCGGCATGAAGGTTCCCATCCCCGGGGCAGGATCTGTGGAAGATTTAAGCTTTTTCCAGACTATCCTGCAGCGCGCAGACTGTATAAATGTCTGTGAATCGGAGAAGCTTGGTTCACCGACTCTGCACCAAGTCAGCGAGGAAGTGGATCTGGAGTTTCGGAAGAGGAGCCCCTACAACTACCTCCAAGTGGCTTATTTCAAGGTAAATCAGCATTTAGGTCGATATTTGGATTTTCTGTTTCCATTCAGAGGTGAGGCAGGACTCACCCCCACCCCCCCTCCTCTGCCACGTCAGAAACTATTCTGCCTCCTCCTCAATCTGACGCCGGATTTACGGACCGGGTTCAGAAACAGCGACCAGGAATTGGAACCAGAGACCGAACTGAGCGTGCAGGTTCCGGTCAAAGCGGACCGATGTGCGGCGTTTAAACTCCCTTAACCTCGCTCTACAAACCGCTCTGCCACGCGCTCAACTTTAAAAACTCGTGCTCGGCTTCATCTGTGCGCGCGCTCGGTCTGATTGCAATGCGCGCGCATGGCTTCACTCTATGGAAGCAAATCGTTAACATAATTCAAATGAAAAAGCATTTTCAGAAATGCTTTTTCATTTTAAGAATGTGGCTGTTTGACTCATAAATGAAATTAGTAATCAATCATCCTTTTTGCATTTTCATTTTCTTTAACACCGCTCATCCTTTTACTTAATTAAAATGAAAAAGAAAAAGACATTTGAGATTTATTTCTGAAAATGAACGCCAGCAAATACATACCATACAATAAAATGTAAAATTTTATAACATGCACATAAATAGATAATTAAAGAATAAGTAATAAATGAATAAATTTGAAGATTATAAAGGACAATAAATAATTAAGGCAGGGGTGCTCAAGTCCAGTCCTCAAGAGCTACCATCCTGTAACTTTTAGATGCATCTCTTCTCTAACACACCTGAATCTAAAGCCTCAATCCCCTCATTTAGCTCAGCAGAGGCGTGGTAACGAGCCACTTATTTGATTCAGGTGTGTTGAAAATGGTTGCATGAAATAGTTTCAGGATAGTAGCTCTTGAGGACTGGACTTGAGCACCCCTGAATTAAGGTAATTTTTACTAAGGCGAATAAGTAAAGAAACCAATTAAAAGAGATATATACAATTATGTCTCACTGTATAATTTAATTTCTACCTATATTTACTTGTTTATTGTATTTTTGGGGCAAATAATTGTATGCTTATTTATTTCTGTATTTATTTTTAAATCTGGTAGAGCTGGTCCTCCATATAAAAGCTCAATGAGGAAAAATGTACAGGATGTATCTGCAGTAGGCTTCGTAAACGAACACGTTACGTCGTGAACAACCTAAGAAAAACGGACGGTGTTACGCTCGCTGTCATCAGCAGACGGTCGGGTGGACAGCATCAAGGCGATTTCCAACATGCTGGTCTTTTGATAGTAAACTGCTAAATAAAGTTTTTCCTCGTTTTAGCCGTTTCTATTGACTCCAGTTTTTATCAGCTACAAGATAATCCCACAGCTAAACAAAACAATGTCCCAGCTGAATCTGAGGACAGCTAGTGCGTGCTCCACCATTTGCTCATCATCAACTATTAAAAAATTAGTGTGATTTGATCGCCTTAAAGCCGCTTCACCAGGCTTTTAGCTACCAATGCAAACAGCCATACATTTTATGGCCTTTACTGAAAAAAGACATATTGTGGGCCCTAAATTCCCCTCAGAAACTTTGCTCAAAATTTCACAAGCACCAGATGCTGGAGTTGGATATATATAATTGTGTCTGCTGGACGTCCCAGTTGAACCAATCAGAGCAGCCGATTTGTAAGCTGGAATTCGAAGTCCTTCAGCTCTGATTCCAACCGTCACAACAGGTATGCCTTGGGGCCCTTCTCCTAGGGCCCCTACTTTTTACTATCCAACTTCAGCCCCTTGATAACCTCTGTATGTATTACGGGTATTATTCATTGTTATTGGTATGTGGATGACACCCAGCTCTATTTATCTGGAAAGCCTAACTCCAAATTCCTTCCCTCACTTCTTGCCTTTCTGAAATCAAAGCCGGGTTCACCTCTAACCCTCCTGAAGCTAATTGCAATAGAACAAAGATCTTTGTTGTAGGAATCAAAACTCTTTTATCGATTTAAAGTTCCTCTTTCTCAGTTGATAGTTCCAGCATCTATCCCTTTCCGTGTATTCCGGAGTCTGGGTTATCGTTAATAGCGCTCCCACATAAATAACATTACCTAACTAACCCTAAACATTCATTGTCTTCATCCTTTCCATCCGCTCTGCCCCTGTTCTCATCCATAGCCTTCTCACCTTCAGCATGGATTTCTGCAACTCTCTTCTTTTTGGTATTTCTCTAAAATCCCTCCATAGGGTTCGGTTGGTTCAGAATTTAACGGCTCGTTTAATTACAGAAACGCCCTCATTTTTTTTTACATCACCTCAGTGTTACAGGAGCTCAACTTCAGAATTCAGTTCTTTATGCTCACATTCAAGGTAATCCTTATTGCCCCCCCACTCCATCCATCTTACTGAGCCTCCAATCAACCTCATCTCCATGGGGAGAACAGCTTTCTCCTACTCGGCTCCCAAAATCTGGAATTCCCTCTCTGGTATTTAGAAAACTGACACTTTAACTCATTAAAGTGTAAAAACCCAGTTTTTAAAGACTGCATATTTCTACTGAGGGCCTGTCCCGCTTCTAACATTATGTATTATTGATGGTTTGTTGTTCAGTGTTCTGAAAGTAGCTTTAAATAAAATGTATTATTGTCATTGTTATTTTATACAGTAAAAAACTTGATGCTGTTGTTTTTGTCTTAAGGACTAATGCAAAATGCCTCCTTAAAGGAATAGTATACCCAAAACATGATTAGCCTTCATTTTCTACTCACCCCCATGCTGAATAACACTCTTTCTCAGTTCTCTAAAAGCGCGCGCCTGCGAGTTCACGACGCTACGGAAACCGTGGCAGACCAAACCATACGAAAGTGCGCATTCAGCTTCTGCTCTGCCAAT